AAAAAAAAAAAAAAAAAGAGGAAGGCTGATGGGTGGTTGAAAGCAAAAAAACAAAAAAGAAAAAAAAACGTCTTTTTTTCGCTTTTTTTCTTTTTTTTTTTTTATTCGTTGAATTCGCTTGCAGTTCGTTTTAATGGAAAACGCGGTATAGTGTCAATGATGATAATAAGAAAGAAACAGAGAAAAAGTGAAGGGAAAAGTGATAATACAAAAAAAAAAAAAAAACATAAGACTAAAAAGAAAAAGAAAAAAAGAAAAAAAAAGAAACCGCTCATATTCAAACACACACACATACACACATAGACACATATTTATATAGAGCTTAATAAAGCTTTAAAGAAAGAAGAAACAAAGAAAGGGAAAATCGGTAAAAAAAAGAATTGAAAAAAAAAAGAAAGAAAAAAAAAAAGAAAATCAGACAAAATAAAGGCACTAGTAGTACGGGTAATAAAAATAAGAACAAGAAAAGAGACAATAATCACTATTAATAATATTAATACTATTTATATTAATATTATTATTATAGTTGTAGTAGTGGCTTTATTTATGTGTACGTATGTGCAGGTGTGTATGCAACGTTTTCCTTTTCCCTTGTTAACAAAGGAGAAAGGGCAATGTGAAGATGAGAAAAGGGAGACTCGTTATTTCTCTCATTTTCCGCTCTTCACATCTTAACATGCCCTTTGTTACTTAATCTGCTACACAGACAATATATAAATATAAATATATATATATATTTCCGAAAAAGGGAACAAATAAAGAGAAAGACAAACGAAGATATTGGAAAAAAAAAAAAAAATCAAACAACGCAATAAACCAAAAATAAAAAGAACAAAAGTAAAAAAAAAATTTTTTTCTTCTTCTTCTCAATGTGATTTCTGACTCTCATAGCCAACTCAATATATATATATATATATATATATATATTGTTGTTGCCACACCCTCTTTTTTTCTCCCTTTGAAAAGAGCAATATAGAGAGGGGTTTACAGTTGGGTTCAAGTCAGTTTTGCATATTATATATATATAAATAAATAAATATATAATATATATATTCGTTTTTTTTTTTATTTTGATTTTTATTTTCGCTTGCAATATTTCATATTTATACTTCTCATCATCCCTTACCCCATTACTTTATTGTTGCTGCTACTGCCTGTGGGATTACTACCACCATTACCGCACACGAGGCAGATCCCACGAGTTTCTTTTCTTCTTCACTGTGATTAACCCACAACGGCCACTGTTCCCGCACGGCTGTTGCCAATACGATGGCCATCGCATTTCCAAGTGAATCCCCAGCTGTTAAATACTCCGCAGAAGGGGCATCTTGTTCTAATAACACCGGCAAGGGAACTTCACTCTCACAGGATTTCTGCATAGCCTCACTTATCACCTGTTGCGGTGTCATTGTATAGAGAGTATCTAAAGCCACATAGTGAGAGACTCGTTTTTTGTAGAATTGCTCTAAACGTCTTTTGGTGCCAGGATGAATACTTGTACTTGCACGAAGAGCAGAAAGATACTTCATTGTTGTTGCTCTTGTTGCTGTTGCTGTTGCTGTTGTTGTTGTTGTTGTTGTGGTTCCGGATATTTTATCCTTGGTGTTATTCTCTACACTCTGCATCGTTGTGTTTGCGGCATCTCGATCGAGAAGTAACATCCATCGCAGGAGTTCCCAAATAGCAGCGGGAGAGATGGCAGACCAGAACTCCGCCACTGCAGAGATCATTACATGCGGTAATAAGATATCAGCATGCATAATCTCTTCAGGAGATGGTAATACTTCTTCAATTAATTTATGTTCTTGTTGTTGTTGTTGTTGTTCGCGGCTTCGAGGTTGACTATTTCCAATACATCGTAAAGGACTAGCCATAGTGGAAGATGTTTGCGTATCTGAAATTTCTGATCTTCCTTGAGAGATACTCTGAGCAATGACGAGTCGATAACCCATTGGCATTAACTTATCTGGACTGGACTCCGCACTGGCCATACAGGATAAGACGCCTCTTATCTTTGAAAGGTCAATAACTCCTAAAGGTGTTTCTGGTAATTCATAGGCTCTGCGAGATTTCACAGCCACACATCTTGTTGAACTAGTAATACTACTCGCTCCAACAGATTCATCTAAGATATCACGACTAACACCAAGGGTATTAGGGCTATTACCAGTAGTATCTACACAATCTTTAAGTTCAGCATATACCCGTTGAGTGTTATCTGTAAAAATAAATAAAGTACCCATCATACCAGGTGTAGAGGTATAGTAAAGAGAATCTTCACGAAGGTATACAACAGACACATCCATTGGTGGAGCTCGTAAAGATGGACGATCATTTGACTGCGTGATCACATCATGATGTAAAATTTCCCTCGCAAGGGCATCATTCATTCTATGTAAAGTTGCTCGTAAAGCAGAAACTATGGCTTGTCGTGGTTGTGCCGGAAATGTCTTTAATCCCACTAAAAACTCTGGAAGCATAGTAGTAGCGTATGTGCAGAGAGTTTCATATCCAGATACCAGTGTGGCGAGGAATTCCCGTTTAAACATGGGTCGAACTTCATGTCGACGTAAACGTCTTGGCTTATTACGATCACGCATAATCATTCTTTGACTATGTCCAATCTTTAAGAAGAGTGATGGCATCATTTCATAAGAAGCAGCGGCGTTAACAGATTCTGTGGTGGTAAAGAAACGACTACAAACAGCTGAACTGCTGATATTACAAGTATCATTCTGTGTACTACTTAATGAACATCCACTCTTTGCAATGACGTTTGTGGCCTTTGGAAGAAATAAGTGAGGTCCCATCCACATGGTACGAACAACATCTTGTGGAAGAACTGCACCGAATAAAATGGCATTACTATTAGTTGAACGTGACATGGCTTCTACAACCTTTCTACGAGAAAAAGAATCTTTACAAGAGTTTACGCCTTCTCTTGTTTCCATTTCATTTTTTATAGAAAGTTTAATTTTAGATGATTCATGTGGATTCTCTGTGTTATTTTGTGCAGCGAGAGCTTTGGCAATTTGGGATTCACGAAAGGCAAGTATACGGTAATGAAGAATCTTTGGTATTTTCTGCCGTAAAGTATCCAAATCAATAGGCGTTGCAGTTGAAGGACGTTCTCCTTTAATATCTATATGACACTCTAATATTATCTGTGGTGTAATCATAGATCCAGGTATCATTCGCGTTACGGTTTGTAAAGTAAGAGCTCGAAATAAATATGGTAATAAATGATACGGTAATCTTTTTGTAAAGTTTCGCTTTACTAAATCCAATACACTTTGCTGTATGGTGTCTTTTAGTTCATTCTCACTGGTGTGTTCCCCAGCTGCGAAGAGACTATCGGAACAGTCGACGGAGTGTGTTAACATGGCTGGATCGTCCGTGGTAATACTAGAACTGGGCTGGAAGAAATTATCCCGTTTCAGTGGGTGAGTTGTCGTGGCAACATCAAAAACCTTTTTACCATGGGAATTAACTTCTTTGGTGTGAGTACCTACTTCTCCTACTTTCTTAAGTACACCATTTCGATTATCATAAATAGTAGTAGTAGTATTATTATTATTATTTTTTTTTTTCTTTTTCTCTTTATTACCCTTGCCAGTTGTTTCTTCCGTGATAACTGAAGTCAAGACAGCTGTAGTAGAGTTTCCTAATCCCTTTATGGCCCGTTTAGTTTCCACGTCGTTATTCTTAAACACCTCCGTATTCATTAAGTAAGAAAGGAACAATACGGAGGAAATATCTTTACAATCTAGAGGCGATGGGGGTGGAGATTTTTCTCCAACTTCCCCAGTAGTTTTTTGCTCGCTCTGCCTCTTTTCATTATCCGCTTCTTCTTTCTTTTCTTTTTCCCGTTGTTCTTGTTCTTCATCTTCTCGTTGTTTATATTTCCCATCTACACATGTATGGTAGAGTGGCGGAAAAGGCTCCACTTTCGTGCCGTTATCAACTAAGCCGTTACCACCACTGGGCAGTACAGCCTTCCGCTTGGCTGGGGTTACACACACAACACCCATTAGAGAGAAATCCCCTAACTAATATAATATATATATATATATATATTTATTATTATTATTATAAATAGTATGTAATGATGATGATAATGATGATATTTATTGCCGAAAAGGGGCAGCTCTTCTGGGCTGTGCACGTACAGAGTCAACTACACAATAAAAGAGGAATCAAGAGAACCGCCCCGTCCTCCTCGTCTCTCCTAATTAGAAACACACACGAGAAGCCTGCAAATAACTAAAGAATGGGAAGGAATGAAGGAAGGAAAAAAGAAAAAAAAAAGGTAATAATATACTTATTGATATTCCTACAGATCCAATGGTTTACCTATAGAATACTAAATACGAGAGAAACGGGGAAAAAAAAAGCAAGGAATAAAATGAAACAGAACAAAATATATATGTGTATATATATATATATAAGAAACAGCTGCAGCAAAACAAAATTAATAGGTGAAAAAAAAAAGAGAAAGAAAACACAAAACAAATAGTATCACTTCAAGCAACGTTTAAAATATAAACATAATACAGTAGGAAATGAAATGCAGACTGTCATGTTTTTTTTTTCTCCCCCCCCCCACCCCAACGCAGGGTCAATGAGAGACAGTAAGAATAAGAATAAAATGCCTGACCCACTTCTAGTGGTATCTATAGTAATCCCAAATATATTCCAAATATATATTTAGAAATGACTTTGATTTTTGGGGTCAAGTGAACTTCAAAAGAAAAAAAGTGGATTCTTTGTTGATATTTCATATTCCTCTGTTTATTACTTTACATGCATGTATATATATATATATATAATCCTCAAAGACATACCTCATTGAGAGAAAAAAAAAAGAGAATGTGCACACGTAATATTAGCAAAAAAGCGCAGAAAAATAAACTACATTTAGTCTACTTATACAACTGCCTTTTTTTTTTTTTTTTACCACTATTACCACTTGCTCTTTGCTAAGACTGTTCCTGCTGTTTATTCCCCTTTTGCGCAGCTCGTTGTCGCTCTTCTGCTGCCTCTAACATTTCTACAATGGCTGTGTAGCTGCGGTGCCTCGCATACTCCACTGGTTTAATTCCCGTGGAGGATCTCTTCAACACATCCGCCCCCTCCTCCAATAGGGCCGCGACCGCCTTCTCTCGCCCGTAGCCGGCGGCGAAGCAGAGCGGCGGGGCTCTAAAGAGTGTGCGCCGGTCAAAGGAAGGACCATACGGGGGATCCGGTTGGCCCATGCTATTAATATCCACACCGGCGTTGAGAAACATTCGAATGGCCGGCACATCTCCATCGCAGGCAGCGAGAAAAATATTTCCCTTCGCGTGTTTTCCACACTCCGAGAGTTCACGGGTGACCGTCCCATCGGCCATTATCCCAACATCATACTTCACCACTACATCCTTTGAGGCGCTTTCCCGACACTGCAGGGCATATGGGTAGGGCATTATCAATGTGTTGTTGTTATTGTTGTTTGTTATTGAAGTTGAGTGAAATGCTATGATTCCCTCCTTTTACTTCTTGATCAACTCAGAGCCGTCTGCCAGAGTATTTTTTATTTTTTTTTTCTTTTTAGTGGACTTCACAGAAAGAGAGAAAGAAATAAAAATAAAAAAAAAATAATTATTCTTCTCCAGATGAAAAATAAAAAAAGAAAGAAATATTTATTTCGCTTTCAGATGCCCTTTTGCAGCATCAATAGAGAAACAAAAAAGAAACAATAAGGAAATATAAACAGTTTTCTAGTCCAGTCACTCTCACAAGGAGAAGGGACCAAAAAGAAGTGTCTCTGAGTTTCTTACAAGCCATACGGATATATGTGTGTGTGTGTAGATATATATATATATATATATATAAGCCTGTAATATTAAATATCGCTATTCCAAAGACACAAACTGTTCTTGTTGATACTGCTGTTGGACCTTATTTTCTGCAGGTCTATTGTGTTGAGCAGTGATGTGATGCATTTCCTCCTCCTCCTCATTATCTGGAAATGCCGATTTGGGCAAATGATGTACCCATGGCCGCTGTTTAACTTCATCTAATGAATCTGACGCATTCCACTCATTCACTTTCATAATGGCAAGTCCATGTCGGAGTGCCTCTGTGTATCCAGAACCACCAGCACCATTCTTTGCCTTTTCCTGCCATAAACTTTCTCTGTCAAAGTGTGTTGTAAGTTCTTCACTACTTAATGTGTATTGGGCGCCATCCCACAGTTTCAATGGATATGGATAGTTCTTTCCAAGTTGAATTCCATGCATAGCCTGCATTCGTGGTGTGAGAACGTGTGGTCTGTGAATATACACAGGAGGAATTTTACTCAACTGTGGAAGCCACTTCTTCACATAGATGCCTGTCTGATCATGATGATGAGCGAGCCAATGAATATTACGAACCGCCTCACCAAAGTCATCTCGAATAAGTTCACTGCAGTATGCAAAGTTACCATAACAGATAAAAGGATCATAATCAAGTGAACATCGCTCCAACCACTCCGCCCCAAGACGCCAATCTTGTCCATATCCACGGGTAAGTAACCACGCCAATGCCTGACGTCCTTCATGTGCAACAAATCCAGTTGTGTTTAATTCCCGCATGGCCGCATCTGCGAGTGGAATACCAGTGAGTCCTGCACACCATTTCTGTACAATCTTCGCATCATGACGCCAGTCTGGAATGTCATCCGTGTGTTCCGGACGTGGGCCATAAGGAAAGAAGAGTTGTGGACCATAACGTAATCCCATCCAATGCCAATAATCACGTCGTGATAACCGCAATAGGGCCTCACGGTATTGCATCTGAACAAATTGATCTCGTAGATGTTCACTTGTGTAGACCCGCAGGGATTCATACAGACGGCGTGGTGAGAGTGAACCAAGAGCGATATATGGAGAGAGACGTGAAAGGCGTTGAGAATATAATTTTGTGTTGGTACGATGTTCTCTTCCTGTTCTCAACAGTGATGTAACTCCCGCATCTGCAAGCCACGCATCCACACGTTCCATCGCGGCCACTTCACCAGGTGGATGTGAAGATTGTGTAGCGATAACTTCAGAGACAACAAAAGCCTCTGCACTGCCGTATCCCAATTCTGTTAATGTTGGTAATGCCCCACGATAAGCAGGTGGGGAATGTATACCACGTAACTCTGATGATGTAGGGAGAAGTTCAGAACGGGATGGAAGTGCAGAAAGACGTGAAATGTAAGAATCATACGGTCGTGTTGGACGAATTCGGGCAATCGTCACATCATCATGATACCATCGTTCTCCCTCTCGCATGGACGCAACAGAAACAGGCAAATCATCCACATGTATAAGTGTTGTTTGCCAAACACTATGAGGTACAGGTGCTTCCCTCGTTATCACTATATGTTTACAATGATGAGAACTATTAGATGAATGCATACTATACGGATGTATAAGAGTCGCATCATGTTCAGTTGCAATGAGACCCGTTTCCGCATCTCGGCTTATCCAACGTCTATGTTTAATTCTCTCCATAATAGTATCATGTACGTATTTCTCATGAGGTGCATACTGTGTAGTAAGAAAGACATCTGTAGCCCCACACTCCACCGCAAGACGAGGAATATGTTCCTCTGGACGACCACATCTAATTAAAAGTGGTACATGTAATTCTCTTTCCAGTTTTTCACGCAATTTCTCTAAAGTTTCAAGAAAAAAACGTGCCCGCATTGGACTTTGACGAAAGAATGCACCCACCGCACTTGGTTGGGCAAACAGACGGTAATCCACAACGGCAACGGCAACAACTGGTATGCCTCCCGCCTGTTCTGCCCGCACAGCCGCAAGCGCCAAGGCATAATTATCATGAACACGTAAATCATTAGCCGCAAAAACAACCATCACACAAGATGAGAGTTCTGGACTAGTTGGAGGTGGAAGTTGAACCTCTTCTGGTGTAGGTATGGAAAGATAAAGGGCATCTTGTTTACTTAGATAACTAGAAGCATCTTGCATTCGTGCTATCCATGTCTCTGATGGAGGAGGAACTGAAAGATTGGATTCCATTTTTTTCTTCTTCATATTTCTGTTGCTGTTATTATCATTCGTATTCTCTTCATTCAGATCTGGCATTAGGAGAATTTCCTCATCTTCATTTAATAATTCATTTGCCGCTACATTTTCCAACTCTTTCGCATCCGCAATCACTTCCGTATCTATCACCACCGGCGTCTCTTCCAGTTTGTAATTAAAAACAGGAGTCTCCACATCTTCCATAGATGCAAATAATTCCGCCTGATTTATAAACTCCTCCTGCTGCTCCATATTCATATTCATATGAACAACACTCTCCTCACCTAGATCATGAGAGAAAGAGATACTTTGATGACTGCCATACCGGCATACAGTAGTCAAAGAAGATGATAAACATGAGGAGGAAGAGAAGTGTCGTGGGAGCGATGGTGAAGGAGACACACGTAATGAAATTCGTTTCATTGCTGAAAAGTCTCTGAGAAACGCACCCAAAAGAAGCGCAAAGATTATGCGGTGCTAAATACCCTTTTTTCTTTTGTTTTTCTACTTGTTTCTCCTTCTCAAGTAACAGCAAACCGCTATATACATAGACAGAAAAAAAAAAAAAGAAAGAGAGAGAGAGAGAGAGAGAGAGTGAGTGTGTGTGTGTGGTACAAGTGAGAAAGGAAAAAGAGAGAATAACAAAAGAGAAAATAAATAAATGGATAACGACTGGATGAATTAAAAAAGAAAAAAAAAAAGCAACTAAAAGAAAAAATTGCTCAATGCAGCATTGTATTCCGCTGCCTGTGTATATTTTCTTTTTTTCTTTTGTGTGGATTCTTCTGAATTCTCTAATGCCAACAAGAAAAAGAAAAAGAAAGAAAGAAAGAAAACCAAGGAAAACTAATAATTCCTTATTGACAGGTGTCTAGCGCAATACACCTCATATCCATCTTTCCATTGATCTGAGAACAGTACGTAAACAATTGAAGAATACAAGAGAGAGAAAAAAAAAAACACACAATAAAACCAAAAACAAAACAAAACAATCACTACTTGGTAAATGCACTTTCATCCTTTCTTTTTTTTTTCTTTTCTTTTCTTTTCCTTTCCTCTGGTGAGAAGCACAAACATGTCTTCTCATCCTTGTCCATTGCTAGCATACATCTACTTTGCGGAGGAGGAGGCCACTTCACGCCGGCACATTGGACAGATATTACTACGCAGCAGCCATCGCTGCAAACAATCCGCGTGAAATGAATGACCGCAAGTCAATCGAACACCTCCCGCAGTATTAGTAGTATTAGTAGTAGTATTAGTATTATTATTAGTTGTTGTTGTTGTTCCTGCACAGACACTACTACTTGTATGTAAAGATGTGGTCTCACTATTCTTTTGCGGTTGATTCCCCCCCTTGGATGATAAGGATAGTGTACAACGCACCGTATTCACATCACCATCATCATCACAACAACAACAACTACTACTACTATCATCACAATTAACATTATCTTCATCATCATCATCTTGGAATGAAAAACAAATGGCGCAGTTCATTTCTTGATCTGCTCCCAACACAACACAACCAACTTCCTTCGCTGCCACACCTCGAATGTGTGTTCCTTGCGTGGGTGAAAGAACAGCAGCAGCAGTAGCAGGAGTAACAGGAAAAGATGTAGTAAGCACAAAAGAAGGGGGTGTTGAGAGCTGTACTTGATACTTGAATTCATCACTAGAACTACTATCCACATGTAGAATATTTTTACCCTGTATTCCAGCAGGACTACCACTATTATTACTTGGATTTAAAGAGGGATTCATAGCCGTAAATGAAGACCCACTCACTTTCATTAGATTCTCCAACAAAACAGTAGGCATAACAGTTTCTGATATCATTCCCTGTGTATTATTGTTGTTGTTACTATTATTACTATTACTACTATTATGATGGTTTGGATGCAGACCATTGATATTGTGAACACATCTGTATCCACCAC